TTGTTCACTGCTGTACTCTCCAGGGCTTTGAATGTTTCCTTGGACGATAGGTGCTCAATGAATTTTTATTGAATGAATGAACGCGTCCTACGCTTTGAGAAACTTCTCTGTGGAATAGATAGATGGAGAAGTTGTTGTGCTAGCGGGCAGCCGAGGTCCACAAACAGTTCTCAACCATTTCAAAAGCTTCATTGATGTAAACATGAACATGGGCCTTTCAAAGGAGCTGCCCTTCATGAAAAAAAGGGCCTTCTAGAGCAGTGTGGTTGCGATGGATAAAGAGGACACTCCTGCGCCTATTCAGATGGGTGTTAAAACAGCCCAGTTCGTTGAAAAAGCATGTGGAGTTTTAAGAGGAAAAAAAACTGTAATTACTCAAAATGACTATTTTTGACAAAAGTCAGTATTCTTGGTCATGTTGCTTCTGGGAAGTTTCTAGAGACTTTTCGATTTAGAACACAGGGCTCCAGATACGAATAGAGCAGGTCTATGTTCTTCCCAGAGCCAATTTTTCTTGTTTGAGGAGAAAGGAAGCATGCTATGGTTTACACTTCCTTCAGGCTCTGGAAATTGTCCTCCATCACTATCTGGATCAAACCTCTCCCGCTTGCACTTAATACTGAAGGACTGAGTGAATTCCAAGTGCGGCCTTGCCGAGTGAGTCATATCCCCATTTCACGTGATTTGGACCTGATTTAGCCAAGGACGTTTCAGAGCTTCTGGAAGAATTATTTAAGGAGAGGGCAAAGGACAACTGAGATTCAACTTGGACTCTGCAGAATAGGTTAGAGGCAAGAAACCAGGCTTAGCACATCATGTACATGTGTGATTGGAGGGTCAACAGTCTATAAGTCTTCAGACATATTTTTAAGATGGAGTTTGACAGAAAAGGTCAGATGTTGTTAGTGCCGGAAGACAAAGAAAGAAAAAAAAACAGAGAGAGACAATTAGAGTTGATTTTCAGTGATTGGGGTTATTAGGCCTGTTTATGGAGTCCAGGCAAATTAATTATAGTATGACTACTTCACCAATAGTAACAGTTGCTAACAGCCAGTATATACTGGTATATACAGGTATCAGCCATATATACATGTTATAATGTTCTGCTGTCGAGATGAACCCTCTCCCGGGTATAGACATGAGAGCCTGAAAATACCCTGTTTTGTAAGTTTCTGGAAGGCTGGAAAATATAGTCCCTCTTCCAAGAGTTGTCAACTCCCCAAAACTCTCACGGGTGCATTGATTGGGTCCTGAGATGTTTAGATGGGAAACTCACAACCAATCATCACTAACTGTTTAAAAACGATCACTTGATCGTGATGCTATCATCAGTATTTCTAAGGTGATAATGAGAGATTGTCACGTAGGAAGGCAAGTTAGATTAGTAAGAGTAGTTTACGATGGCTCACTGGCCCTCTGGAGTCCCTCTGAGTCATGAAAAAAGAAGGATGAACAGGTGTAGGTTCACTGCCTCCTTTGCACTTTTGCAATGATTTCTTGGTTTCTCTCATTTGTGTGTTGGTAATATAGATGTTCTCCAGATGGCCAAGTCCAATGACCAATTCTCAGTCAATCTCATATTCTAGCAGCCGCATTTGACAGGGCTGATCACTCTTTCTACTTGAAAAGCTTTCTTCACCTGGCCTGGATAGCCCCTCTTCCAGTTATTTCTTTACCTCACTGGCTGATCTTCCCAGCCACCTTTGCTGGTTCCTCCTCACCTCTGTAAGATCTACCAGCTGGAAGGCCCAAAAAATGTAATGGCCAAAGATCTCCTCTCTGTGGTAGCTAATCATTGCTGAGATGTCATTCAGCGTCATGGTTTTAAGTACCATCCATCTTCTAAGAACTTCCAAATTCGTATCTCAAGGCTGGACTGTTTCATGAACTCAGGTAGTACATAATTTTTTACTGATAGGAGTCTCAAATTTAACATAATCTCAAGCAAGTCCCTGATTTCTATAATCTTTCTTCCCTGCCACCCCAAAAACACTTGTAGTTTTACCATCTTATTAAGTGGTAACCCCCTCTTTCTAGTTGCTTAGAGCCGAAAGGCTTGGAGTATTCCTTGATGCTTTCTTTCATACCCCATACCTGATCCATCAGCAAATCCTGTTGGTTCTACCTTCAATATAGATCACTGAACCCCCAAATATATTCGCCAGACAGTAGTAGCTGGAGTGATCCCTTTAACAGATAAATTACATCTCCTCTGCTAAAAATACCTCAGTGGCTTTCCATCTCACTTAGGGTAACAGCCAGAGTTGGCAGTGGCCCTGAAGGCCCAATCTGATCTATTCTCACCCCAGAAAATCTCTGACCTAATCTCCTATCACCTCATTGCTTTCGTTCCAGCCACACTGGCCCCTTGACACTCATTCCTCAGGACACACTAGTCACACTCCCATCTCGGTGCCTTTGCTTTTATGGAACATTCAGTCCTGAAAATTTCTCCCAAATAACATACTAGTCCTTCAAGATCTCTGCTCCAAAGTCACTTTCAATGTTTCTGCTCAAATTCTCTCAAGGTCTTTGCTCAAAGTCACCTTACCTGTGAGGTCTTCCTTGACCACCCTAAAAAAGTAACAATGTGTTTTAGCCAGGTTTTTCTATGTAAGGCCTAAATAGTTGTGACTAATAATGTAAATTACCACTACCTTGTTTCCGCAAAAATAAGACCTGGCTGGAAAATAAGCCCTCGCATGATTTTAGGTGCCAAAACGTGGCACCTTGGCATGCTGAATATTTTAAGCTGAAGGAGTTTGTGGAAAAGGCACCCTTCTCCCTGAAACAGGTCATAAAATTCTCATGTGAGGGGTGCGTGCCCTCCATATCCTGGAGGAATCATGCTACGGCTTATTCTCTGGTGAGATCTTATTTTTGGGGAAACACGGTATCTATTTGCTTGTTTAGTTACTGTCTGTTTCCCTAAACTGAAATAGATACTCCATGAGAACAAAGAACTTTGTCAATCGTGTTCGCTGCTATATTCCAGTTGCCTAGAATATCACCTGGCACAAAGTAGTGTCCTACAAATATCTGTTGAATGAATTAATATAGAGATAAAAAGCAGTTACTGGTAGATTAGGACATGCATAAAAATTGGCAGAGCTATAGAGGGAATGTTTGCGTTCCTCCAAAATTTACATGTTGAAGCCTCACCCTCAATGCGATGGTATTTGGACATGGGGACCTTGGGAGAAGATTGGGTTATGAAGGCAGAGCCCTTGTAATGAAATTAGTGCCCTTATTAAAGATACTCCAGAGAGCTCCCTGCCCCTTCTGCCAGGTGAGGAGGCAGCGAGAAGATGGCTGTCTGTGAACCAGGAAGTAGACTCTCAGTAGACACTGAATCTGCCCTCTTCTAAATCTTGGATTTGCGAGTTTCCAGCGCTGTTATTTAGAATCCACCCTGTCTATGGTATTCTGTTATAGCAGCCTGAACGGACTGAGGCAGGCACTGTGAATTCAGGAGGGTTAGACTGATCTGGATGCATTTAAGAGAACAAGTTCATGAGGGGGTCATAATGTCTCTCTCTTTGGAGAACTTTTAGCCAAAGGCAGGAGACTGGGGGCTTCTTTCCCAGAGCCCATGTGAACTTGTGTTTAACTGATTCTACCACTAACTAGCTGTTTGTCTTTGGCCAAGATATTTAACCTTACTAAGTCTTAGTTTTTTTCAACTGTAATATGGGGATCATAATAGAATTGACTTTAGAATTGATCTGAAGAAAAATATGCAAAAAAATGTTTAGCACACTGTCTGGGCTTATTAAGTGTGCAATAAATGTTACAATTATTATTTTTGTTGTACAAGATAAAATTTTGGCAGGATGTACCCAAAAACGTCAACAATGGCTAGCCCAAGGGTTGGGATTGTGGATGATTTTTGTTTTCTTCCTTTAGCTTCTAGCTTCCCATTTTTCTACAATGAATAAGTATTATTTACTATGAAAACAAATGAGAGTTATTGCTTTTTAAAAAAAGAATTGACCAATGCAGCTGTGTTTTGCCGGGTCAAGTGGACCAATTTGAATGGATTTGATGCTCTCCTCAGGTTCTTATCAGCCTTTTATTCTGCTCTTCCTAAACCAAAGGCTAGCATGTAAGAACCCGTGTTCCGAGAGCAAGAGTGGAGGAAGCAACAGATGACGGGGAAAGGCAGCGAGCTTCGAAACCTAAGGAGCTCCAGCGACTGAAGTGAGGGACTTCTGAGTCTAGCTTTCCATTTCATGGCTTGGGATGCATTTCACGTTAGGGGCCTATGCTGGGAAAAAAACCAAAATACAAATCAATTCCACTTCGGTTTAATTATGAAAAAGTTTCATAAAGTGGCAAATTCTGAAAATGGGTTCTCGAGAGAAGGTAGATCCAAATGCACTGAAGCTGAAGATTCTCTAGAGGCGTGTTGTCCATTAGAAACAGAATAACTATGGGCCTCGTGCCATTTTTAATTTTCTAGTGGTCACATTGCAAAAAAGGGGGATGGGGCAGCAGGTGACATTAATTTGAATAATATATTTTATTTATCCCAGTATATCCAAAATATCATTTCAAACTGTAATTAGTATACAGAGATTATTAATGTGATACTTCACATTTATTTATTTATTTATTTGAACTAAGCCTTCCAAATTCAGCGTGTATCTTACATTTACAGTATATCTCAATTCAGGCGCGCCACCTTTCAAGTATTCAGCTGTCCCCTGTGGCTAGTGGCCACTGTCCTGGATAGGGCGGTTCTAGACCATTAAGCTGCCACTCCAGGAAAGGAAAAGTCCTAAGAGGGGGGCCAAGCCTTCTCTTTCTTTTCTTCTATCTTATCACTATCTCTTCTCAGAGGTCCTTGGATGTGGCTGGCCATTTCCTGCCAGGATCATTCTCCGATGCTGCCAACCTTTCCCAGAAAAAGAGCATTTCCTGGAAAAGAGAGAGCCTGTTGAGAAATACAGAGGGGCAGGCAGCGAGCCATTTCAGGGCACCCTGTGTCACGCTATGCTGTTGGAGTCTCTGAGGCGACTGTGTGTTGGTAGGAGATAGTTGGTGGCCCGTGCAGCTGGGTTGGGAAACCCTCAAGGTGAGCAGAAGGCGTGGGCAGTGTTGTGGTTTGGCTACCTGGCCGAGAAGGTGACCTTCATGGACTTTCCCTACCTTGCAGCGCTGCCCCCTCACCCCTCTCCCCATGTCCGTGGTAGCCCTGGCATTCCTCGTCGCCCAACTAAAGGGAATTCAAGATAAAGAAACATGTTTATCTTGCCTGGGGGGGCTCAACTGGTACATTTGTCAGTGTTGGAGCTGGGGTTTAAATGGGACTAGCTAGTTCATTTGTCACAGGGGTGTATTTCTCTGTGTTTGGAAGATTTAATTTTTCCCAATGAAGAACTGTATAAATAGGTCTAACGAGCCTTGAGGGCTCTCATTTGCTTTCTGAGTTTACAGCAAGCGGGGAAACCTCACAGCACACTTGCCGCTCAGGGTTCTGTGCTGCTCGCCGTGAAGGGAGCCGGCAAAGGACAGCACCCCTCTCATTCTGAAGGGGGCGAGGGGGGTGCTCTGGCCTTGGGGCACCCACATTTTCCCATTCAGGGGCTTACATTTGGGAATGTTTAGTTAAGATGATTTTTTTTCTACATACTTAGGATAATCTGCATAATCTTTTGTTTGTGTAGCTGGTAAAGTGCTCTCCAGCTAAAAGAGAAAGGGCATAGTTAAAATATATGAATAGAAGAGTAACATTGGGGAGTCATGGGCTCCGAAGAGCTGCCTCCCCATCGAGGCCTGGCTTTCCTGTTTTCTTTCTTTGTTTTGTTAGGAGAGTTTGGTCTAATTAACGGCCAGTGTTGGTTCCAGCGTATGTCTGTATATGGAGGTGAGGGAGCAGGTGACGAGAGTAGTGAGAGTGAGAAGGAAAGAGAGACAGGGAGGAGAAGGCCAGGGAAAGGAAAGGAGATTTTTCAAAACTGGAGGAAAAAGGGAAGAGAATGAGGCAGGGAGAGTGAGAAGACGGAGGGAAGGAATAGGTGGGGATTAAGAGCGAATATCATAGACGTCATCGCTGGAAAAGGCCCCAGAAATCACGCTTGCTTTACAGCTGGGGCAGCTCAGGCAAGAGAGGCGCAGGGCCTCGGGCGCGGCCACAGGGTGACCGGTAGAGCTGAGGTTCTCTCCGTGGCTCTGTCCTCTGTGACACCTCCAGGAGGAGAAGAAGACATACACATACAAGGGCTTTATGAACTGTGCGCTCCTCCTTTCACGTCATGAGTCCACGCTGCTCATCTTCCCTAAAGGAAGTTGCCCTCCCCTTCCGCCTTGTCTCCCACGCACCACCACCACCACCACCACCATCACGGCTGCACGGGCTGCCCCTTGGTAACAAGCACTCTCTGTTATGGTCTAAGTTTTCAAGTCACCTGGGTGACAGCAGGGAAGCAGAAACCCTAGTCTAGATTCGCAACACATTGAAAAAAAAAAGAAAAGAAAACTCAGCTGATGCATACTTACCCTGTGTTGACTCCTTCGGGGGTGCCCATGCTTACTTCTTCGTCTCCTCACGTTAGCTGAACACACCCTGAGAATTTCTCTAAAACACACACACACACACACACACACACACACACACACACACACACAGAGGATGGGATCAAGAGGTACAGGTTCTAATCCCAGATCTGCCAGAGGTTTGCTAACCTTTTTATTTCTGGCCTCAGTTTCCTCTCCTGAGGACTACACAGGACCTGCTGACCTCCGAAGCTGCCGTATCATATCCAGTGACTGCAGAGCAGATTGGTTTGGAGAAAGATAGTGGGCTTTGGGCTGGTTTCATAGCTGTATGACTAGACAGTTTTAAAACTCTCTCTGACCCCATTTTCTCCATTTCTTAAAAAAAAAAAAAAGTGGAGCTAATTATGTCTACCACCTAGAATTGTTGTGAGGTGGAGATAATGGGTGTGAGGATGGGGCCAGCAGGCTCTTGGTGTGGTATAGTGGAAGTGGGTTATTTCTTTTTCATTTTTCTTGCTTGCTGGTGGTCTCTTTCTTCACTCCTATGACTTTTAGGAGTCTGTGCGGAGGCTGGCTCATGCAGATTTGCCAAAGCTGACTGTGTTCACCTCTTTCTAACTGCATTTGGTCATGAGTCGGTGGTAGTTAGAAATCGGCCATGGTGGGTATATTTATACCATGGAGATTGACAAATATAAATTAAAGCTTTTTAAATTTCTTTGATGAGTCAGTTGTTCAACATTACCAATACACCACTGGGCCTGATATTCTTATTTCATTTAGGTTTTACTCTGATTTCTCTGGATTTTGAGGATATTATCCATTCAGGTGGTAATGACTTAGTTTGAGCTTACTCTGCATAAGGGCGATGGATAAGGTTGCCAGATAAAATACAGGACACCCGGCTAAAACATTAATTTCAGATAAACAAGGAATAATGGTTGCCTATAGTATGTGCCATGCGACACTTGAGATGTACTTAAACTAAAGAAAAAGTTTAACTGAACGTTCTGTATTTTTATTTGCTAGATCTGTCAACCTTAGTTACGAAGAATCCAGTTACACAAGACATAGTTCCTGTGTCCATGTTGCTTCTGATCTAGTAGGAGTGCTGACCTTGAAATTTGAAATCAGGATTACTGGGACTTTTTACTTTGATCCTTGTCTTCATCATCATCCTCTAGCCTTTATTTAATGTTTATTGAGCAACTATTATATGCAAGGCACTATTCTCGGTTCTGGGATTCAGCAGTAGACAAAGCACACACATCTCTGTTCTCATAGAGCTTTCCCCTGGTTTGGGAGAGACAGACAATAAATAAGATAAAAAAGTAAAAGACATAGTATGTTAGTGGTAAGCACATGGAGAAAAATAAACCGGAGAAGGGAGCTGGAGGAGGTAAGGAAACAAGCCTCTCTCAGGGGGGTTCTAGGCAGAGGAACACCAAGTGCAAAGGCCCTTTACTGAGTGCTGGCCAGAGGCCAGGCCCCCTAAGTGCTTCACTTCCATTATCTCATTTAATCCATGCAGTGGCCCTGTGTGCTAAGTATTATCACTCCCTTTTTGCATATGAGTAGGCTGATGATTTTTTCACAAGGTTAAATCTCTTGTACAAGGTCACCTAGCTACGCAGGGGTGGAGCCTCCACTCTGACTGGGGGCTGGCTGGCAACCACCTGGACTTGCTTTCCCACTGAGAACAAGTTTTAGAAGAGGTTTTTCGGAATTCTCTACACTCGACCTGCTCTGGCTTTGGGGAGGACCCAGGAGGAGGCTGGGGCAGCTCTGAGCCTTCCCACTTCTGCTGAGGGCAGCGCCCCATTTTCCCTGCGCCGAGGGAAGCAATGTGTCAGGCAGGGTCCACAGGGCCCTTCCTTTCCTCCACACAGGGGCCAGGCCAGGGGCCTTAACGCCACATGTCACCAGGTGTCCTCTCCCTGCACGCTCTGTCCCACCGCCCCTCCAGCAGGCACAGGGAGGCCCTCACAGGCCTCAGCGGGGCCTGTGTGCATGGGGCTCCCTGCAGGATGGCCAGGATACCATCTTGTCTCCATTGTCACTGGCTAAGCACGCTTCCCTCCGCCCAGGAAGCGTCTTGGCTGGCCTTTGGAACCTTCTCCCATGGGTGGGGGGGCTGGTGATCACCCCGAAGTCCAACCGACGCTGACCTTGCCCCAAAAAAGAATACATTGTTTTCAAACACAGCTTCCTATTCCTGCCAGATAAACCAGCACATTAACAATGTGTCCAGGTTGTAAAATGTTGGCCGGTGTTTCTTTTTTAGCAGCGAACTTTTTGTCCAGAGATTGGCATTTTCCTCTCCATTCACAAGGACCCGGCTCTCCTTTCAGGGCTGGGCGCGGGCCTCTGAGGACCCAGACACACACACATACATTCGGCTCAGCTCAGCCTTGCCGTGTTGATAACATTGTTATTATTAGACGTAGCCTCTGGAATCCTGGAGTTCATTCCCAAACAACGGCTCTTCTGGTGAAATGAAAGAGCAGCTCCGGTTATCACTGTGGCCGCTGAGATCCATTACCTCCTGGGCCTGCGAGCGCAGATGGCCCCTGACAAGAAACCTGCCCGGAAAAATTATCCCGGAACTGGGCTGGAACCCCAGCCAGGCCAAGTGCACCTGCACCTCCTCCTCTTTGCTGCCCTCCTGCCACACCCCTCCATCTCCCGCTAGCAATGTGGACGTGCCCACTCTGGGTGGACCTGCCATTGGGTTCACTGGCCCCTGGACTTGCTGGTTCCCTGACTCCTGGCTTCTGCTCCAAGCCATCTCGGTGCCCTTCATGTCCCCTTTCCTGTCCCTCCACCGGGGTGCAGGTACTGTGCCTGTCCCTGCACGCTGACTGGAAAAATGTGCTGCCTCTTCTTTGTGGGTTTCGTCCTAGGGGTGATTTAAGATTCATGAATGTTTTTATCACAAAATAAGTGCCCTTCAGTAGTCTCATGTCAGCTTGTAAGCTGGGAACCTCCTGATGCTGGTGTAGCCTTTCATGTACTTAATAATTCCAGACTATGAGGTTCTTGTGGGCAAAAAAAAGTCTCTTTTTCCCCATTGAGGTTGGAAATATTTGCAGTCAAGTGCACTAATCTTAAGAGTACAGCTCCATGTATATATATATTTTATATATATAAATATAAATATATATATATATATTTATATATTTATAATATATAATATAAATATATATTTATATGTATATATATAATATAAATATATATATTTATATATTTATAATATATAATATAAATATATATATTTATATTATATATATAAATATAAATATAAATATATATATACACACACACACATATATGTATATATATGCTAATTAGCACCCAGATCAATATACGGAGTGCTTCCAGGTTCTCCCTGCCCCTTTCCAGTCAATGCCCATCCCACTCCTTGAGACAATTCCTATTTTGATATTTAAGGAGGTGTCTTAAATGTCTTTTCATCCCACAGAGCAAATGCTTGATAAACGCATTTTTAAAGTAAACCACATCATGCTTTGTACCAAGTATATGCTTCAGAGCGCTATGCCAGGTGACTGCCTGAGG